TTAGGAACTTGCTCTAGATATCTTAAAAACTACTCAGTTACTGTAGATCATCTCAAATCATTATTCAGTATCCTCAGTGGTAAATGTAATGGTTTCTGCATCAATAGTACTAACTTGAAAGCCTCAGTCATAGGTTTTTTTAAGGTCTTGAAATATTGCTGCACTGAAATTTTAAGCATACTTGATTACAGTATCACTGTTTAGATCTTACATTCCTTAAAGGTTAAGGCCAATTCTACAAAGTATTTTTTTACTCCAAATTAAAATTAATTCTTACTTTCATGTTTTACTAGAAAGAAAAAAAAAAGACTGAAAAGTTAGCTATTTTCTGTGGGTAGAAAATGGGGTCACTTTTGTAAATACTGAGATTAGTCTAGTTGAAGTTTCAAGGAAGTTTGCCATACTAAGGAAAGGTAAAATCTTTCAAATGCATTTAATCAAAAATGACTGCACACATATGACTCCCCAGAAAGGCATTTATCCTAATTAATAAGATAAACCAATAGTTAGTCACCTACTTAAATGACAGCTGCGAATCAAAACGGGCCTTGCCAATTCTCTCATGGGGTCAGCTATGACCACCCATGAAAACTTCACTCTTTCATCTCCTTTACAAGTGGAAGGACTGACAGACGGCCACAGCTGTTCCAGCCAACCATAGCATCCTCAATGCTCGCTGCCAGGACTGGCTGCCATCCGCTGCCCAACATGATCAGGCAGTAAGTAGGTCTATAAACCCATTAAAACAGCATAAATGTTATAACTTGTAATCTATTAAAATCAAAATAAACAGGAAAGGAGGTCTAAGAGCCAGTTTCTTCAGAGCAAAATGTAATGCTAATTATGAGGTTTTCAAATATTCCAGCTTTTTTTTTGGGGGGTGGGCAAGACTTAGAATTGAGCCATTAAAAAAACAGTTGGTAGTATTAAACTCTTGCTTTAGGATTTATAAGAAAGCCAAAAATTCACTCCAGGCTGAAATTTACTATCCCAGGCCTGGAATCATTTAAAGAAAAAAAAGTAGTCATAAATATGGAAGAAAAAAACCAAGCAAACACAAAACAGTGGTTTCAGATGATTTTTGACACTCCTTCAATGTAAAAGTGGCTTTATTTTTTTTAAAAGCCTGAGATTCATTACTAGGAATTACTTTTGTAACTAAAATTGGGACCAGGTTATTTTAATAATGAATTACCAATAAGTTACTATCACTGAATCTTTTCTAAAGCTTTTCAACATGACGAGATACCATAGTTTTCAAAGGAATGACAATGCTCTTAGTCAAAAGCCAGGAAGTCAGTAGTGGAAATTTAATCTGTGAGCCACACAGATGTATGAAAAACATTTAAAAAATTAACAGCGTATATTAAAGATGCTATGTCAGCCCCATTTTTATCCATAACTAGACTTCATTAGTTTTGTGGGTTTAAAATTGACATTTAAAAATAAAGGCAACATAAGTTTTTGTGACTTAATTTAGCACTCCTTAAATGAAGAGATATTTCGATGTTTGCAGACTGTTAGCATCTTTCCAAAATAAGCTGTGCTGGTGCTACTTAGCTATATTTCCCTATCACCCTAAGGAGTCTGTATTGCTGATGGAAGCCATTTCTTTTGCTAAATCCTGCCTGTGAACTCTAACAAGAGCCTTTAAGCCTACTAAACAAAGTCTCCTGGGAGACACTATTGTTAAAACAAAACTGGAACAAATTTTTAAAGTGAACTCTCTACAATCATTAGAGGATGCAGGTCTTAAGAAGAGAAAACTTGTTATGGGAAAGGGAACAAAAAGCCAAATGTAAGCAGAGAGCACATGCCAGTCACCCCTGAGGGAACAGAGGGGAGGTACAGAAAATTAACTGCTGCATTTCTACTTCCCACCAAAACCACAAACAGGCCATTCCAGGGGACTAACACATACAGAGTCTGCAGATAAATACATGTCTACCTCATTACCTGAGAAGAGTCTTAAAGAGCACACTTCTTTGCTGAATATTTCTGTTTCTAAATGAATAATCCCTTTTATGCAGAAGAAGGTGCTATACATACACATGCAACATTTGAAGCATGTACGGGTGTCAGCTTGGAAGCTGCTCAGCTCTGTCTGTGAATTTGGCCTGTAGTCTTTTGGCATGGATTTTTACTGCAAAACTTAACAAACATTCACTGCAGCCAAACCACCTTGAACTGTTTCTTACCAAATTTCATAAGCTAAGTGGATTTGAGTCTGGTCAATACACAGATGAGATGTCATTATATGAAATTAGGCTTTGCTGAAAAATGACAACAGTAGCTTAACAGCATCAGGAAATGGCTGGACTTAGCTGTAAGGACATGCACAGAGGTGAAGCTGCTGGCTTCACTCAAGATAAGACTACCACACACCCAGGAAAGCCAAGACGAGCAGCTTACCTAAAGCGAGGACACTACATGAAAACTGGGACCCAAAAGATTAGTGAAGTTTCTGCTTTCTACCTCAAATATGAATAGCAAACAGCCATAGAAGACAGACACTCTCTGCTGAGGGACATGCATATTTGTATGCCAGCTCACCAGCCCGTAAGGCATGCTTTCTCTGCCATCTAAAGCGGCACCATCTTGGAGTTACACCTTGCGTGGTAACAGTAATGCCAGGCACACTGCTTAAGTCTGGTACCTTAATGATGTATCGAACAACTTAGATGGGAGATAATAAAAGAGAAACTGCCATTCTGAATTCTTGATGAATAGACTGGGTCAAATCAATCCCACTCTATTTTTGACAAAAGTATAGGTCTAAAGGAGGATGAGAACAATGATTATATCTATCTGGATTATAACAAATATTTAACATCAACCCAGATGACACCCTTTCAGGCAACCTAAGGAAAAACATCTTCTTTGTTTTCTGAAGTTACCATAACATACATGTTTACCTGTATTCAAAGACGAGTTAACAAGAGTTTGCTCGGAGTACAAATCAAACAGGATCGCACAGAAGGAATACAGCATTATTCTTCATCCTCACTGGATGCAGTGGAGGGTATGCCTGTAGGGCTTGAAAGTTGTGTAGGCACTGTGAGGCTGAAATGCAGGACGATTTACATACTCTAAATTGTTTCCGTGAAATAGATCTTGCTTAACTATCCTTGGTTTTATCACCTTGGTAGTCAATTGCCATATATACTTGCACTTGAGAGAAAAAGACTTGCATCAGCCAATAACAGACCTGTGAGCTGTCTATCTAAAATTAGTCTGCTGGCCCTCCTCGGCTCCCTCTGCAGGTACTGCACTGACAGAAAATCAGCCGTGGCATGACTCTGAGCACCTCATCTACATAAGTCAGAAACATCACGGAGAACAAAATCCTATGCCAAGCAAACACTGGGAAAAATTCTGTAGTTATCAGAAGAATCTCAATGCTTATTTTAGGTCCAGAAAAACTCCTGTGTCAAAAATGGAAATTCTGGGTGGAGGTTGCTGAAATGCAACTCAATTGACAGTTAATTAAAAAAAAAATCTTCAAGAAATAATATATGGTTTTTGCTACCAGGCTATTACAAACCCTGAACTTGGAACAGGGCTCCAACAAGGAACTTGGAACAGAGGGTGCAGAAAGTGGAAGCTGGTATTATTTATAACCTGGCAGGCAGGACTCCCAGAAACTTGGTTAGCCAAACCAAGTTGATTCTCCCTAACTACAGGTAAAACAACATTCTGAGTAACTTAAAAAGTTTGAAAAGGATATAAATAATAAAAATAAAAGTATTTCAGTAGACAGATGCTGGCTTTTTTTCTTTAGTATTTGATGAAACATGTTTCAAAGAGTACATCATTAACCATTGTTCCTGACAGATGTGCAAAGTTATACTACCTGACCACATCATGAATTAGCCTTCTTAGGAGGAGCTGTACAAAAAGTAAAACTAAAGAAAGCAGAAATTCCTTGACATCTGTAGGATGTCAAGGAAATGAATCAGCTTGTTTCAAATAGGAGATAATCTTTAAAAAAATCTTCTAAAATCTTCTGAATTACATTAGGACTTTATCATTTAGCTGTTCTCACCATATCCAGGGACATACTGAACAACCAATTAATTTCAGAACTTCCAGACAGTGTGTCACAAGGATCACTACAACTTTTCCATTTAATCATTAATACTAAACATTAAATAGCTTATATAAAACACATAGCATAACAGTTTAATCAAAGCAGGGATGCTCATGTGGTTCCCTGTTAAGAAGAGTATGTCGAGCCTATTTATTAGAAAACATAATAGATTTAGCTTTTCAGAAGGAAATACTGGTATTTAATCTGAAGTATATCAGAATTATCTGACAAGATCTCTATGTAATGTAAACCAGACTGGCTTTGGCCTAGAGATCTGGTTCAGCACAGCAAGCAATTTTCAGTTTCTCTAATCAGTGCAAAAAAAATCCCAGGAATTTTATACCTGGGAAAACGATCAGAATACTTATGTGTGAAGAAAACACAGATCACTTTTTTCTAACACTACCTTTTTTGAACATAGTTTCCTAATGAACGTCACGTCTACATGATGATAGCAGCTGAATATTCCTCTCTGTCCACTCATTTATCTATGAATTCAACCCACCCTCAAAAAAAAAGAAAAGAAGAAAAGTAAAGGGGCAGGGTGAGACCCTGATCACTTTTACTTGTATCTTAAACTGGCACTGTACCATGTGCAGGCCTCTCCTACTGATACACTGGGGTCTTTTGCACATTTGGCATTTCTGGTAAGGTTAGTTTCTTTGTGTAATAATTTCAGACGCAATTTATAAAGTTAATGTCCTTCTCTGCTTTAGAAAAGAGTTTGGAAATAAATGCCCAAACACATTTTAGAGATTGCAAACCAAATGCAAATAAAAGAGCCCACAGCTCTTCTGTTTTTGTTTTTAGGGGTTCTTCTTCCCAATGCCTTGATATGTCTATTGTTCTCTAAATGTCATGTAGCAAAACTGCTGGTTTATTTGGGATAAACCAAACAGTAGAGGCTTACCTGTAGGAGTACTACTGCGAAACGAAGAGGAGGGAGTGATTGGAGGGGTGACTGGAGGAGTAAGGCTTCCACTGCTGTGGCGAGGTGGAGTAGATACATTCCCACGGGACACTGTGCTTGACAAAGTCAAAGAGAGTTTCGGCTGAATCTTTTTCTTCAAAGACTCCTGCTCACGACGAGCTGCATCAGTCATAAATCTAGAACAAGGACAACCATGAGGATGAGAGGCTTGAAACACTGTCTGCAAGAAAGTTTTAGGTAAAGATCAATTAAGTATTTTTCACCCTCAGTGACCAAATGGAGTGTCAGACTCAGCGATGACAAGTTCCCCTGCAACACACATATTTCAAGAATACAAACTTTTCCAGCAACAGCTTTATTCCAGTGTTCAAGATCTGGGCCATTTGCCTCTGATTTCAATAGAACTTATATTAGACATTTGTATCATGTGCAAACACACAAGTTTTTTTAAACTCCAACCAGAGATCACCACTGTACACAATACTATAATATAACTACACTCAATCCTTCTGTGAAAAGGTAGCTGAGTAGCTGTAACAGAGAAAAATGTTTGGGGCAAATGTAGTGAATCTGAAGGTCAAAGGGATAGTGTGAATTACATTGTGTAGATACATCATTTCCAATTTAGGATAATCACATTCTTTTTCTAAAGGTTTTAGACACTGTTGCCTGACACAAATGATGTGCAAGTAAATTGCAATTCCTCAAAATGGAGTTCTCAGCTCCTGAAAACCAAACGTGGTCTCTCTGTGCCTGCTGCTGAAGGCCTAATGCAACTTAAGGTTCATCTCTGTGGGATGCTGAGATGAAATTCCACCAGCGCAATGCAAGATGTGCACTGGTAGTGCAGTAATTCCAACAGTGCATTTCTGGGTGAGATCTTTCACTTGAAATATATAGATTTTTTCATTTTATTGTTATTCCTTCCAAAAAAGAACAACTGAATTTAAAACTGACCACTTTTATTCCAAGTGCCTACACAGTCACACCACAACACCTGATACTGCATTATGCTGACATTCAGAGAATCACTGCTGGCACCTGTATCAACCCTCACTTGCTGTGATTTCCCCACAATGGGATCTCTGCAACTCAGACTTCATGCACTTAGCATTCAAACAGTATTTTAATCTGTTGTCTTTCCCCTCCACTGCATAAGGAGCCATCTTGAAGGATTCCTAAGACAGGCTAAAGTAAATCACCTTGTCCATACAGTCCTCTGTCCTTCATGCTAAAGTATAAACTACGCCTGTCAGTGAATAAAATAATACGTGCTAGCGTATGATACGGAGTAAGAAGTTACACCCAGACATTCGTCTGACCAGGTTAGACAGAGTAAACCAGGTTTTAGCCAAGACACAAGCTTTACATGATGAGCTCTTGCAACCTTGGCAAACCATGAAGGGCACATTCAGAGAGGTGAGAACATGGTGCAGCCAGTATGCTGTACTTGCCTCAGATCCAGCTGTCACCTAGAAACTCACATTTGCAGTCCAGTAAGGAAACAGAATGACAAAAATTACCAGCAATTATTTGTATTGGACTAAGCGAGGGTGACCTGGCTTTCTTTCAATAGTCACACTCTCCTCAGAGGAGACTAGGAAGGAGAATGAGGCAGACTCCGGGATAGAAGCGGCCACAGAGAACAAGTCCACGGAGGAAATAATGATACTGAATTGTTGTATTGGGTGTAGGTGGCAAGGTTTTGGTAGTGGAGGGGACTGCAGGGCGAGAAGAGGTCATGGGCTGCCTTGTGCCAGACACAGCTGGTTTCAGCCACCTCTGCAACGGACCCACCATATGACACACCTGAGTCCATCAGTGAAGCTGGTGGCACCTCAATGAAAACATATTTAAGGAGGGGTAGAAAATGTTGGAGGGAGAGAGGAGGAAGGAACAGAGGAGGAAACATCAGAGGGAATGAGAGACTAATGAGGTCAGAGGAGCAGGAGGTGCTGCATGGTGGAGAGCAAGTACACCCCCAGAGGCACTGCAGCCTGTGAGTGACCAACACCAGAGCACAGGACAAGAGTGACAAACAAGGGGCAGCAGAGAGAAACCACCACAACCTGACCCCAACCCCTGCACCACTTGCTGCTTCATCGAAGGGACTGAGTGTGACCTGCAGTGGTAGCAGCGGAGGAGAGATGTCTGGCATGAAGTGGAGCATGGGAAAGGGGGAAGAAAGATGGCTTTTGTCCCCCTAAACGTTTTAGGGTTTTTCTTTTGTTTCTCAATAACCAACACCCAAATCAGTAATTAAATATTTAAGCTAGTTGTCAATAGATTAAGTTAAATTCCCCAGGCCAAGTCTATTTTGCCAGTGACAGTACTTGGTAAGTGATTCCCTTTATTTCAGCTCACGAGTTTTCTCGTTCCTATTCCCTCCCTCATCCCGCTGGGGTCAGTGGTGTTGGGTGAGTAAGCAAGTGGCTATGTGGGTGCCAATCCACCACTACCACATTCTTGTTGAGACAACTATATTTGCTATGTGACCAAACTGTCTGTTGTGTTACTTGACATTCCTTATCATATGAGAAGACACGTAAGCAACCCCTGACAATCCTAAGTCCAACAGAGGACTGGGATATCTGCCTTTAGCTCTCAAGGAAAAGCAGCAGACTCTGAGGAGAGGGAGGCAGAAGGAATACTGCCACACCAGAAACCTGGTTCACAGTTTATACCCTACCATACCATCCGTATGAAGGATCAGACCAGAGGCTGGCTGGACAAAATGATTCTGCAGACTGTAGTACCACAACAATTGCCCTGAATGTGACCATCGGGTCGTATTTGGTTTCACAGCAATACATAATATCTGCCACAGCATCTGCAACATGGTGCTGCAGGGCAGTCCAGTTTCTTCTCTGGGTCTCAACCAACAGTTTAAATGCATATGAATCACTATATTTGTTTAGGCTCCATAGAAACCCAGCATTTTGTTACTGCTTGCAGTGCATGGGCTGTTTGGGTGGAAGCTAGGTAGATTCTACTGACCGTGAGACCAGACCTGACTACACTTATGCAGAGACCTCTTAGGAACAACAGCTCTTGTGGAACAGTAAGGGGCATGCAGGCAAGGGAGAAAGAAAAAAAAAAAAAAGGAAAAAAAAGTGGGTGGGTGGGGTTTAGGCATCTGTGTGAAATATCAAGGAAAAAATTGGCCTAGATATAAAAAAACCCAGCTCATTTTCAAAGGAGATTTGTGTACTTTAACACTGCCTCAAAACCACTGTGGCATAAAATTTTAAGTATCATCAGAGCAATAAAAATGTATCCTGTCCATCCATACCATGAAGGCATTAATAAGCGGATCTTTGCCATGATATGTAACGTCAACACACCATCTACAGACATTAATAGGTATATGACATGACAGCTTATCTTCTTTGAACAGAGACAATACATCATGTCAAACCCAGATATGGCATTTTTATGAAGTTCATATTTAAAAAGCAGATAGCCATAGTAACAGCTCAGTTGAACATTTCTCTTCTCTAAACAAGGGTGCAGATATTACTGACAAAATAGTTCCCAAATAGAAATCTAAATTTCATTCAAGAAGAAAAGAAGCAAAAGGATCTTAATAAAATGGGCATTCATTACACATTTGCTCTCCTCTAACTAGGAAACATCTAATTCATTATTTTTGGAATTTGTTCTATGATGTATGCTTGCTTCTGGATGGGAAGCCTCATTTCTTAAGAAAATGTTATGGCAACATTATAAATCCTTGAAAACTTGGAAGATAACCTCAAGTGTGAGATATTAAAAGCAGCAGCATGAACACTGCTATTTAATAAACTCAGCCACAAATAACAATGTTAAAAAATTATTGAGGTATAACCAGTCTGGTTGAAGTCCATAAAAATCAGGAAAATTTGAAGTTATAGCTGAAACTTCTCCCTGTCCTGTTAACTCGCTCCCATTTGGGCTAAGCATGCTGGGTATATTCCAAAACTTCATTTGTTGTCTACATGGTGAACCTGACAGAAACGGAAGGCCAAGTATGTTGAGAAGTTCAGTTCCTGATATCTCAAATATGCAATTAACTTTTTCAGGTCCAAACAGTCCCATATGTGTTTGCTGAGGCACTGGCAGTGCTATAGTTTTGAAAACAAAACTTTTCTAAATGGATTAAAAGAAAACATTTTTCAGTATTTTATAATAATTGAAATGCAGTATTATACTTGTGCCTAACTATGGTGGTGTTCTTCAAAGCTTACAATATAAGCATTTTAATGATGGGTATAGAATAACATTTCCAACTAAAGCTTTCATTTTCATGTTGAAAATACATTATGGTATGGTTGCAACATCAAGTGCTCAGACATGAAACATGCTGGAATTAAGGTTGAATACTGGTCACCAAATTACATGTTGGCATACAATTTTCCCTGCCTCATTGAAATGCACAACATGTGTGGGAAACAGAAAATGAACAGTAACTAACAAAGGCTGCTGCTGTTTAGGTTAAATCCCATCTACTTGCTCAGTAGGTCTCTCTCACCATCTTCACATCCTCCTCCTTGTTGAGCAAAGCTACCTCTGCTATTTTCCACTCTTACTCTTAAGTCCATGACCCTGCCCCTCTAGTTCCACCATTACACAGATTTTAGTCATCTTCCCGGTTGCACAGGATTGTGTTTACACCTCATAAGCCTTTCTCTCCAAATCCAATATACCACGTAGGCGCAGTGGAACAAGGGGAATCATTCCATTCCCAGCTATTCATTGACCCTGTTTTGACAAACATGGGGTTTGTGTGCTTTCTTGCAGATGGTTCACAACATTAGGGAGGAGTCCATTCCTTAGGAAGAAATCTCTTCTAGCCCCATTTTTTCTTTCCTCACCCTTTCACCTTCTTAATAATTCAACTCCCTGCTCCAAAACACGTAGGTGCAATGATTTCTGAATCAAGTGCTTGCAGCAACTTTAATAAACATGAGCAAAATATAGTATTTCCCCCTCCTCTCATTCCCTGGAATGGTTCAAGTATTTTTATTGAAACTTTCCCAAGAAATTCAGCCTGAAGGAGACACCCAGCATGGAAAATTTCAGCCCAAACAGCTGAATGTTGGCAACATAATAGGCAACTGAAACAAGTCTTATAATGGAAAGTGTTGCACAACCTTCCATATAGGTGGCAATATAATAGAAACTGCATTAGCTGTTG